GAGCAAACCATTAGCTCAAATCAAATGGGAGACACTGCACTTTTACATTTGATGCATCGGGTTGCTAACTCCTGGTAACTGAGGGACACTCACAGTGACAATTTGAAGCACATTTGCAAACTGAAGCTCAACTGAGATTCAGATAAATGGGAAGACAAACTACTAACATTATTAGAAAAAGTGCAGCGAGGTCCCACTCAAAGTAATAGGCATCTAAGTTGACTTAAACAGCTTTTAAACAGTTTGTTTGATACACATTTGGAACTGCTGCATACACAAGAGTGCTTCGCTGTTTTCCTCTTAACTTCAGGCTACAAAAGACGTGTAACGTAATTTTAATTTATCTCTGAAGAAAAAGTTTCTTAGCATAGCATTCTGTAGACAGAACTCTGGAAATCACCTGTTTGTTTTTTGGTTTCTGAAACAAAAGCAGAGTCTTCTAATCACGTGGCTACAAACCTACAAATGGCTGTTATGGCAGAATGCCCTTCCACAGCAAAAGGTTCGCAATTGCACATCCATAGCATGTACGCATTCATTTCAAAATCATCCTTAGCAATGCACCTGCACATTTAATAATGCTAAATACAGTCATTATTTGGAAAGAAAACAACCATTTATTAGCAAGCTGGCACTGAAGTGGCTGACCATTCATTGACATCTACAACCTTTAACCAAGGAATCAAAACCATAAGCAGGTTTTTTTGTCTCCAAGTCTTAGATCTGCAAGCAACCAACTAAGTACCTCATTAAAAAGCCTGTTATGTTTCATACTATATAATTAGGGAACCGAATGTGCTGAGCTTCACTTAAATGCCACCAGAATACTTCCAAACTCAGGATATTGAAAATGCTTCCTGACTCTGGAGTGGACCTCCACGCTCTATTGTCACAACAACCTGCCAGTGGAGCACCGCTCTCATCGCACACCTCAACTGATACATACAAAAAAAGACATTTTAGTTCAAAGCCGGAAAAATCCTGAGTTGTCTGCAAAGCCTAACAGAAGCACTCATAGGTTAAAACAATAAATCAAAACCTTAACAGCACGTTTGAACACCTGCCTGTTGCTGCACCTACCTCCACACTTTCAGGAGATGAATTTAAGCACACTTTGCACCAAGATTCGCCACTTAAATGGACTCCCTGTTCCACACTGCAAGTTCCAGACCCCACCCTACAAACACTGGATTACAGTTTTGCTTCATATTTTCCCTTATTACCAACTTCCCCCTGCACTATTAGAAACGATGAATGCAGGAATTAGTAATCACTCAAGTTGTACTTTTCCTTCTTTATGGTTGTTTGCCAGTGTTTCAAATAAGCTCAAATGCAATTTTCAGAATTTAATGCAGCCTATTTTTAGGCAATGCAGAAGGTCTGATTACAATTTTTTTTTTTTCCATTTTACTGTTTGGTATAAGATGGGCACTCTCATTTAATCATCTCCATAGATTACCTCAATGAATACAAATGCGTAACATTATCTTTAAATAAATGAATGTCAATATGTTCTAGGGTAACAGAAGTAATTGCATATTGATAACAGTCATTATCATAAGTCATGCTTGCTGGCAGAAAATCCACTTGTATTTTTTAATAAGGTGCAATATTATGGTCTATTTTGAGATGATAGCTTTCTATTTCCCCATACATAATATGTACAATATCATTCCAATATAGCTGGCAGACCCTGAAAATAGATAAAAATTCAGAATGCAAACCTGCAAATTGTCAGATTTTACAGTCCTTTGAAGCCAGGGTAGATATTCCAAGTACCTCAGCAAAACAGATAGAAAGGAATCATTATCTGTGCCAGGCTGATGCTATTCCACTTAGCGCAGCAGATAACACTGCCTAGTACATTATCCAGAACTCACGCAGCCAGGTATTTCAGACTTGGCTTTCTGGTTTATTGTAGTTTGCAAAGTAATCTGAAAGACACACAAGAGGACATCTTTTCCTCATTTATAAGAGGCATCAAACTTTAAAGCTAACTCTGGATACATCTGCTACAGCAAAGTAAGGAAGTTATGATGTCCAATATCAAGATTGGAGCTCCCATTCTACGCTGCTACTCTATGTTAGTGCTTTAAACAAGTAGAAAGAACTCGATAAAACAAGCAGACAAACACTAAGCCCTGCACCATGGATAGAAGGCTCCATGAAGCAGCACAGGTCGGAAAAGGATCTGCCGAGGTCTTTGGCAGACAGGGATTTTAACATCAGCTGATAGCACGCAGAGAAGCGAGAGCATAGCAAAGTCAGAAGAAGCCAAGTACCCTCATCTCTCTCTCCCTCTCTAGCATGGCTGTGAGGCCATTCCTGGAAAACTCACCTTAGTTTTGAGCCTGTAGTGAACACGACGGGACCTGTGGTTAAGATTCGCAGGAAGGTAAGAGAGGGAAGCCGCACCTGGCAGCAGAGCACGGCGCCTGGGGCCGCGCCCATAGGCACACGTGGCACAGCCCCCATGGAGAAGGCGAACACTGCGAACTGCCCCCACGGCAGCTCCAACGTCGCTGTGCCCCAAGGACACGGTTTCTTGTGTAATTAAAAAGCTGTAAAAGTACTTCTTACCACAAGCTAAACACCCGAAGCGCAGCCGCCCGCCCAGCCCGCCGCGTGGCGAAGCTCGAGCTGCCGCACGCGGGGAGCAGGCGGCTGTTGCTCAGCAACCCAAATCGGTCCGGCAGCTGCGATGGTTTGTCCGAGCAAACCGGCACCGCTGGTTGGTTGATTGAATGCACCACGCGCACCTGAGCGGTTGCTCGCTCGATTGGGGCCAGCCGGTGCGTGCTGCAAGCTCCCAGGGCACCGGCTCGAGCAGGCGGTGGTGGTTAAGCGCCGTGGAACTTGCTGTCCGTCCTCTGCTTCTCGCTTTTGTTCCTCCAGAACATTCGCTGTGCTCACGTGTGGCCCTGGCTCCGCTCAGAAACTGTGGAAAATAACTCACTCCTCTCATTTGCTTTACCAACACCTCCCTGAAGGCACAGCTTCTGCAAGAGGAGGCTCAGCACTGAAACCTGTGACAGAGTCCCTCAACTTAAACATAGTACTCATACCATTTTTTTAATGGTTGAGGTCTGACCACATGGATATTATTGCAAGTCTCGTCTAAAGCCAACTCGAAAGCATGCACATATAGTGATTTTGCTAAGTTGTACTGCCTCTTGAAAAGCATCTCATTTGGGCACTGAACATTTCTGCAGTGAGTAAGCATTTCTATGAGTTTCAATACAGTGAGTCGCCCACAGATTAGAATTTGTATGGAAAGCTGCACTTTTCTGAGCTGCAAATACCGTGTGCTTAGTTAACAGTTTTTGAGCAAGAAAGTTGTGGCTGCTATCAGGTATCATTATCTGCTACGTGCTCTTCTTTAACTTCACAGCAAGCATCAAGGTCACTATTAAGAAAAAAAATCACCTTTCAATTGAGAAATAATCTCATTTCAAATGCTCCTATTCCTGCCAGCCTGCTGCTGGCAAAACCCACGTTTTGCTAGGAAACAACTAGCCTGCCATGCTTCTCTCATTTTTAATGAGGAGTCTACAAACTTAATTGTTTGTGCTTTTCTATGTCATTCAGTTAACCAGTTTCTCCTTTTGACTACTCTTTCCTGATTTTGCTAGTTTTTAGACAATATTCCAGTTACAATTAAGGGAAATGATTTACTACTGTATCATGCATTCTTCATCAGCACTGCCAAATGTCAGTGTAATTGATTATTGAGAAACTAAATGCAATTAGGCAAACAGCACAAGACAACAACAGCGTGCTGTTAAAAACAACCAACAAGGAACCAAAGAAGCCAGCCCGCTTTTTTCCTACAATTTTGAGGGTTCTGAGGATTTAACAGGGTTCCATTAAAAATAACAATGCTGAAATTGGACAAAACCTTCATGGAAGGTTCAGTGAAGACCTCTGAAAAGTCCTCTGAAAACCGAGAAATAGAACAAGGTATTCATATGCATAAGAAATAAGACCAACATAGGAAATTTTCGTAACGGTCTTAGGTATAAAGGTAACACTCAGCATTAATAAGTATCAGTAGACTTAGACATCAAAAAGGATTAAGACAGTTAAGACAGAAAAATCAGGTTTTTTTTTTTTGAAAGGACTTACAAGATGAATCGCTTACTTCCCGCAACATGCACAGAAGACAATCTTTTTCAAATATATCAAATATTTGCAGGCATCTCAAGCTGTTCAAGGAGCTTTGCCTCTAACAGTACCAGTGTGCATAGAAATTGTACTGTAACATGCATAGCAACTATCCAAATAAAATAAAACTTCATTGGGGTGTAATACTGTAATGCAATTGAAAGTGCAACAACAACAACAGCATAATAACCAACTCCTGCGCTACAAGAAGAAGGAATATACTCAAATACTACAGCTGTAGACACGGAAACAAAGGAAAAAGCTGCTTACCTCCAAAATACCACAGGTACGCAAAGATCTCCAAAAAGAACCTCCTGCCCCAACTGCCAACCCTTAAATGAGGGCTGGGAAGGGGTGGATTCTGACCCTTCTGGTCAATCAGATTCATTGCCTGCACCTGAGCTCCCCTGCGTTGGCCCTGCCTTCCCACCAGGTGCTCAATCACTGCTTTAGGTCGTGATTAGCATTCTCACTACGTGGGGGAAGGGGTTCAAAATGACAATTGACGTGGATCGTGGATTTTCAGTATGGAATGCTGCTAACTCCATTATTGAGCAACGTAAATGAGATCAGAATTAAGTCCAAGGCTTTCTTGTCCATTTTTAAACTGGCTGCCTCCCACTGTGGCAGATACAAATACATATGGGAGAAAGAACAGAACAGATCCATCTAGTAGGAGGACAGAATACATATTACTGTACTAAATGCAAACCTTAAGCAAAGTTTCGTGTTTTTTTTCACATAAAACATAGACATATTTTTTTTTTTTTTGGCTTTTTTTTTTTTTTTTTTTTTTTTTGCATTTTATTAAGCATTACACATAAAATCAGGTCAAGTGATGGCACATAGAATAAAAGGAAATCAGAAGTTATGCTGACAGTTATTTAAACCTACACATTCTGCTATGTTATCTTTACAGCTAATTTTAGCTTTAGTATTTTTCTGTGTTTCAGCTCTGGGTCTTTTAAATATACAAATATGAAGTGAAATATTTGTAAGAGGCAACAGGATGCAGTAGAGCCATGGCTTTCGTGTCAGTCAATCAAGAGGATCATGGTTACACAAAGAAACATTTTGCTTACTTTTTTTTATTATTTATTTCTCTAATTCTTCATCCCTCCCTTGTCTGTATTCTTATTCTTAACATCCATAACAGTTATTTTGCTTCTTTTTTTGTAATGACAACTGTTTTTGTGGAACACATTTTCCTAAGTGAGTTAGTGATGATCATTCATTGCTATCAGCTTCTGTTGACCTTTGCATTTAATAGGAACAAGCTATGTTTACAACAAAAGAGCTAAACAACATGGTGGGATATCATCTAGAAAGCTTCTGAATTGCAAGAGTGTGTAAATTATGCAAAAGTAGGTCTTGCCTGAGGGGTGAGAGACAAGAAGCCTGCAAGTTGTGACTCAAGTGAGAAACAGAGGGGTTTTTAAAATGTTAGGAAATTCCAAAGACAAAAACACAGTGATGCTGGAAATAACAGAGTCCTGCTCATCTGAAATAAACGTCTGTGAATGTCCAGCAGTTTTGTAGACAAGAGTTGGCTCTGTCTGGTTGAATGTTTAATGTCACATGATTATTTTTTTAAATACTTCCACTAAGTTTTCCAAGATTTTCACGTACCTATCCAAAGTAAAAACAGTGATTGTAAAACGATGGACCTTCAAAACATTTTGGAAGCTTTCAGCACCTTGCCAAGAAAACAGAAAACTAATGGAGACGTGAAAAAGCTCGGACAGATAACCTTTCTTTCAAACGTGTCGGCCTGTTTGCTGTTCTACAGTTTCCACCAACCAGAGTGTGCCCAGCTGCAAGCAATTGGACAAACTGCTTAGCATTCACCTGGAAGCTAATTATTATTTGCTTGCGGTTTCAGCTAGGAATTCTAGATCTTTGACCATGACTGCAGTGTGGTAGAAAATATATAAAGAAGCAACAAAAAGTTGATTACTCTCCTCCTGGGAAAACTAAATAGTTAACTTACTAATCTACTGCTATTCCATTTGCTTTATGATTATGTATCCAGTATTTAGAAAACTGGTTTAACAGAGATCGAAGCTGGTTTTCTGTGAGTTCACTCTTGTAAATCTTAATGATTTATTCATTTTGTTTTCTGTGTCACTGTGCCATTTTTGCAGCATATTTACCATGAAGCAGAAGTTCAGACGAACGCCGCAGCCTGCTGCAGGGGAAAAGGAGAACAAGGGAAAGGAAAAATGAAAAGAAATATCTTGAATACATACAGAGGTGAAAGCCTGAGTAACTGGTGTCCTGATGCAAGTGTACAGACAATCTAACTAAACGTACACCATCTCAGCTCTGTGAAAATGAGACTCCTGCAGTCTCTCCTGCACAGGGTAGATTACTCATTAATAAAAACTGGTACAAAAATTATATTAAAAACAAACAAACAAGAACAACGCAGAATGAAGACCGTGGTAATTAATGAGAAAATATTCATTATGTAGACTTTCAGTGTACATTTTTTGTAAGACTGCATTCTTAGAAATAATTGGATTTAGTTTTATCCACTTAGAACTAGTTTATTGCCAAGACCCTGCAAAGGAAATTCTGAGCAGTTCTAGATTGGCTGTCCTTATGGCATAATGGTCTTCTGTTTGTTATCAGTTGGCATGTATTTGTACAGAAGACCACCAATGCTTTTCAGGGCTATTAACATCACTTAAGTTTAAATAATGTAAAGTAAGCTCGTTTCTCAGTCCAAGGGAAAATATGCAGGAGTTCCAAAAGAATACTAATAGCAAGAACTTAGGTTAGCATTTCAGATTGCCTACTGGAATGTTCTCTATTAATCATCTGGTAAACCGAGGGAAGCTATTCTTTTAATTTAGGCATTTGAGTTAATTGCCAAACGGGAAGAATTATAAACATGCCCATTTTCCTTCTCTTTGAATACTTCCCTCAGGATCTCATTTGATCTTGTGGGTAATGTACCATTGTAAAAGTAGCAGGATTAAGCCTTTAGGAAAAAAAGCAAGATTGCATAGAAAAAGAATAAGAAAAATAACTTTGAAATGGATCTGGAAAATGATTTTGCCATTATTCTATGTCTGCATTTCAAATGCTTTGTTATGCCTACGTAATCAGAATATTTGGTTGCATTTTCTATAAAGGCACTGATTTTTTTTTTCATCTACCCTCTCTGAAATGAGACTTTGGACTACTTTTCAGAATATAACAAAAAATGTTTTTCCTTGTCAAATAATCATCTAGTTAGAAGTCAGTGAGCATAGCTGCTCTATAAAATATTCTACATGAAAGATACCAGTTTATATCTTTTTAATTCAAGTGACCAAAAACTTTAAAATTGCTTACTTGGTTCATGATTCAAAAGTAAAGTTCTTGTTTAGTTCTTGGCACTTCTGAGATTCAGAAATAACTAAGACTTTCCTCAGATTTCTTCCAGTCCGTCTCTTCAGTATTTCCTGTAGGTATTCGAGTTTCTAATTTTCTCCATAAAACTGTATTTTCATTAACAAATATGATAGAAAAGAAAGGTTTAAAGAAACCGTAGATGGCAAGCACAGATTTTTCACAAGACCTTCAAAACAAGCTCCAATAAACTGTGGAGTATTCAGCTCTTTATCTTCTGACTGTTCCTGGATGATGTGCCTTATGAGAATAACAGCTATTAAAAAAAACCCATCAATTAGGCTTTCCAGAGCCTCAATTAGGGTGTTTGATTCTTCAAACACAGGAATTAGGGGTAAACACAGAAGCAGATGCTTTACTAAAAGACAGCCCAAATAATCTGTAGGGCTACTCCGTCTCTACAGATCTTGATATTTTAAAGTCATCAAAGCAAATGATGAGAGCGGTCGTAACGGGATGCTGAAAACTACAGTTTGTAATAAGTGGTCTGCTATTTTCTTTTAAATTGGCAAAATACAGACATAATTGAAGTGCATGTATGTTTACCCACGTTACCGTTCCACCGCTTTCACTTCATGTTTGCAAGTGATATGACTGGTGGAATTCATAACCCCTAGGTCACCAAAAACCAAGAATACTTTGACTAGGCTAACAGAGCAAGACTCTGGGATAGAAAATACTGCATTCTTTTTCCAAAAATTAAGCATGAAAAACCATACCAAACTTCAACTAACCAACTAACTAACTAACTAACCCTTTATCTACAAGTTAGCTAAAACGTAAACCGGCTGAGAAGAATCTTGGCTGGCATAATGCCAGGTGGTGCTCCAAATTCCTTCACAAGAGATGAGTGTCTGATGTGCTGTATCTTCATATGGGTGAAAAGAGGAGCAGTATTAAAACTTTAAGAATAACCTTTACGGACCGTATGACTGATGAGTAGTTGAAATGCTAATTTGCACCATAAACTCATACTTGTTGCCCTCCTTCCTAACCAGAACTAGTACTTCTAGTGACTAAAGAGAGTGATGAAAGCAGAAGAATAGGAACAGTTCTGGAAATAGCTGTTTAAACACTTGCTGACTTAACAAACATTAAGGTATGTTTTACCTTAGAAATTCCCCCTTACTTCGAGTGCTTCACATGCATTTTTACAGAGAAGAGGATATTTGAGTTGGTCTAAAGGATGATGAGATCCCTTTCATATGAGATGTTTTTGTTGTTATTTATGTATGTCACATTCATATATTTATGGAGATGTGGAATGAATGCCAGTTCCATTAAATAAACTTTTTGAAGGTCTTACCTTCATTTGTGATTATGATTGAGAGGAACAGAATGTAGGAAGCAGGAAGAAGGCAATGAAAAGCATAAAGACTGAAGTCACTCTGACTCAAGTTAATATAAGAATAAAGATATCTGTGAGCTGGCCCACAAATATGCAAAATGAGGTGAACAAAACTCCTTTTAGAAAGGCATACTTATGTATAAGACATGAATATGCAGAACGGTGGCTAACGGGGCATATAATTTTAAAACCCGGCTTCCACAACAGATGGCTTTATTTACCACATTTGGGAACTTTGCATGGGGGAATCTACCGCTGGAAGCACAGTTGCGTGAGCTGCAAAATGATCAGATATGGGTCAAAAAACCAGACTGCCCTAATGCTTTGTGATAGTGCTTATGTAAGATTGTTGCCATCTGTCCAAAGCAAAAAATGATCCAAATAATTAGATGCGTGTGATGTTTTCTCTCCTAAAATAATTGCAACTGTGTTGGGAATTAGAACAGGTCAACTGGAACATGCATAAGGTAACAGGTTTCCGGTGCAGCTTTTTCAGTTGTGATATTTAAAATACCTTTCCTTACCATAAAAACATGAGACCGTTCAATCTGTCAAATTTCTGGTAAACTCTGGGAAATATAAGGCCATGTAATGGTCATAGTGTGCTGAACAGCAGCTCAGGGAGACAAGAATATGGAAGGGAAATGTTCTACCACTGAATGCATCATTCCTAGTGAATGTCTGGAATCTGTAAAGTACCTAAGAATTTTCTTTCGCTTTTTTTTACAGCTAAAAATGCTGATGACCAGAGGAAAGTGACAGATGCTTTAGCAGAGAGGCATTCAAACGCAAGGCATGAAAATGAGAAAATGGAACGCAGAGGGCAGACTTGAGCTAGTTTCTACTGCAGGGTTGGGGAGCAATGTTTTGTTTCAGTTTGGTCAAGAAAATCAGCATAACTCAAACAGAGGCGTCTCTTGAGTTCCTGAGTTCGTGGGCATCTATGACAAAGTTTTATAGGAGCTGGTATTTCTTCATAAAATCTACACCTAAAAGGAAACCTAAGTCTGGTTTCTTTCCATCCTTTTCATATGGTAAATAATAATAATGATTAGGTGCAGACCCAGAGTGTGGGGGAGGTGGATTTATGCCTCCTCAGTTGTTAGGGTTTTGTTCTTTCCAATTTGCATAAAAACAGAAGTCACTGTTAATGCAGTTAGGGTCGTTGAACAGTTCCAGAGAGTGATTTAGTATTAATAGGAGTAGGAACAAATTTTTGTAGCAGTTCAATCACAAATCTTTCCTAAAATGTATTTTCCTGATGTTAGTCCCCCAAATAAGAGTTCTGGTCTTGCTACACTTTTCAGGCAGATCTGTGGACCCAGATGAATACCTAAAACAACAACAACAAAAAAACACCAATAGTACAACTGGTAGATAGAAGGAGAGACTACTGCATTCTTCTTCATCGTTACCAATTTCTAAACAATCGGTGACCTAAAACTAGCACTACTTTAATTAGACATGAACCAAACAAGAGTTTCATCAGTTCACTAACAAGAAATTCTTAGAGGAACACAAAGTAAGTTTTAACCACATGCTTACCTGAAGATTAACTGGGAAAAGAAAAAGGCTTTTCAATGCTGCTGCCTGTCTTGGGCTAGTAACGTTATTTAATTTACATGGATACTCATTGAACAGCATAATCAGGATTTTGGAGGCCTTCAGAAAAAAGAAAAGAGAACAATTTTAAATGCAGCAATAAATGTACGTTGTTGCAAAGGCTGGTGAGGTGATTGATGTTAATTCAGGTTTGGGAGCTTCCTCATATGTATATTTTATGTTGCTGTTCAATAGTGAGGGACAATTCTCATGCATTTTAAAAATAGGGGCATTAATTTCTGTATCTAATTCTGTTTTGTAAACACACCACACGTTTGTTGACTCGCTGATTTTTACACCAATGGTTATTTAAGCCATATCTACCTCTGAATAAATCTACCGTCTTGGCTCCATTAGATCCTGTGGCAAGCTGACTTTTCAGTGGAAGAAGGATTTCACATGTTCACAGCAGTGCTGTAAGTTGCCTCGAGGCAGTCTCACTAGGAAAACACAAGAATACGACAAAGTTTACTGTTTCTAGCTGATGCATATCAATACCTTGGAAGGTTACGCAGAGCCTGACTATGCTGTGGAGGCGTTTTGCAACATATCAGTGTCAGAAGTTGCCAGTTCAACGCTTTCCGTAATGATTTTCAAAGAAAGAGATCTGGAAGCCAGGAAAATACAAGGGGAAAGAGTTGTGCAAATCCTATCTTTTTAGGGTAACAATGTAGACCATGTTTTTGTTTTGTTTTGGTTTGGTTTTTGTTGTTGTTGTTGTTGTTGTTGTTGTTTTTAATATGGGAGGTACCATTAAAATTAACTTGCTCAAAAAAGAAAAGAATCTGACAACCAGACTAATTGATATTATGACTGTAATCCTTATGGAACTTTATTCCATCAAAATGGTGGATGAAATTGGAGGGGAAAAAAAAGGAAAGGAAAAGAGGAGAGAAAGGATGCTATTTTTTTTTGTGTTTCTACCACCTCCATTGATTCTGTTTTTGAAATTTTCATGAGAACAGTGTTGTCTCTTCAAGAAAGGTATTTACATTCTTTCCGTATGTGATTGGCCTGTTAATTACGCCGCAAACAGCGTAATTCTGCAGCTCGATGCTGTATCTGTCCCAGGCCACATCAGCTGGTTGTGCTGCAGCATGGTGGAACAGAGACTATCTGAACACTGTCATACTGATGGTCTATGTAGGGAAAAGAACATTTCTGACCCTTGTGAAGCAGCCCTGTTTTTGTTCAGAGCATTAACCGGCGTTAAGCACCAGCAAGTTATTAGATTTTGATCCTCACTTCCAAGAAAAGCAAGAGAATGAGATTTGCCCCATCCCTGGAGGCGTTCAAGGCCAGGCTGGATGTGGCTCTGGGCAGCCTGGGCTGCTGGTTGTCGACCTGCACACAGCAGGGGGTTGGAACCAGATGATCATTGTGGTTCTTTTCAACCCGGGCCATTCTAGGATTCTATGATTTGATGATTCCAACTGACGGAGTCCCATGGGAAGCATGCCTGACAGTCCAAGATATGCTGGCCATGATGGACAGCCATGTCACATCCTGGGCTTTCCAAAGTGAATTATCACACTTCCAGAGAACTTACAGGTAGCGGAAGGTGAGGATGGAAGGTCAAGTCCCTGCAGAAGAGTGGATCCCCACTTTTGCTGGTAGTGCAGCCTCCTAAAGGGGCTTGGGTAGTTCTTCTACACCTGCACAGAAATACACCTTAAAAAATCTTATTTTGCCTTTCTGTGAACTGGCACAGTTCTGTTACTTAAGCGCCAGAAAGGGCAGGTATTTCTAGGCAGATACAGTAAACTCTAGCAGTACCATGTGCCTGCATAGACTGTCTATCAAATGGATATGATGCTGTACATATCTGCCTGTCACTAGTAAAGTACATATACTGACAGTTGTTTTTTAGTTTAACACATCATTAACAAGAAGCGAGCTTTTATTTGAAAGGAAAAGACTAATTTAAACACTAGAATTGTTTTCAGTCATTTAAGTTACATAGTTCTCACTCCAGAAACTTTGATCATGTATAAGCCCGCTGAAAGGCTGAAATGTAATCAGCCTCACATACATTATGTTGCAATGTTGTGGCACTAGTGCATGACAGAATTTTATTTTCCATTAGTTCATTCTTTGCTGGAAATATAAACACTCTATATGCTTAATAGTCCAAAAAATGAATGTTATTGCTTTTTAAAATTGCCTGTTAATGAGAATTCTGTTTGCTATTAAAAAATCGGGTGCCTTAGGACCATCTTTCAAATGCTGACATACCTATTTGCAACATCAACAGCGTTAAACAATCAAAACAAAATCATCCCTGCTTGTGCTTTTACTAAAAGCAACCAGGTTTTTTAACTGATCAAAATGAATGTTTATAGCATCTGAAGAGCCAGGACTGACTTTTAAATGGCTTCCCACTGAACTATGAACAATTTTTGCAGCAGTGTTGGCTGTGGAAACGTGTGGAACAAAGATAGTTACTTTTCCAGGAAAAAAAAGCCTGCTGTTCTAAAGGGCTTCTTTTAAGTAGGAAAGATGTAGGAGAGGTTGCACTGACCTGAATCATCAAATGTACACCAACGCTTGAGAAAAAGCAAGTTCCTCAGTGTAGGAAAAGACTGTATTTTACTTGTAAGCACGTACAGGGTCTGATTTTCCATAGCAGCCATGAGCTCAGCTGGAATTAAGGATTCCTATCATTTCTAAAGATCAGTATCACTCAGTGTGACTCGTCACATAGCAGCTGAAACAACATAGTTTTTGTTGCTTAACAAGCAAGACCTTTTAGGACGGTGAACTTGAGTGGAAGCAAGACAAAGTGAAGGATGATTGGAAAAGCTCCTGTAATTGCATCTACAGTTAATTCAAAAATAGAAACTGGAGATGAAGATTCTTTTTTTATATGGCTTCTATCCTAATAGTTACAGATACAGGTATTGTACTCATGGATACCCTATTTTTCTTCTTACCTGTAAGATGTAATCCCAACTCCTTCTCATGCCTTCTTTTCATAATCCATGCTGATGATTTGGGTAATGAGAAGGGTTAATTGTCCTGTTAATGAGGAACTGGCCTTAATTTGAGCAAGCGTTTGTGCAATTTTGGTCTGGCAAGAATCATAGCAGATTATTTTCACCTCTTTTGGGAGTGAAAGGCACGTGGAATATGTCAAGAAACGTGAAACCTTCGGAAAGCTCAGTAATCACGGTGGTATCAGAGTCAGAAGGCTTGGGAGGCTTGGGCCTCTGCTGTGTTTGCGTCTGAAGGCGTTCTTTCTTTGGGTCATTGCTCTTTTCTGTAAAGATTTAAGGGGGTGATGTGATGCTCTTCATCATTTGGCAGCACAACATAGTGGACACTATTCTCAGTCGTACCCTCTTCCTCTGGGCTTTTCTTGAGGCTGCCAGGAGCTCAGGGCCATCTGCTGGACTCCTCTTTTGTCCCAGCCACAGCAGCTCAGTGGACGCCAGTCCCTGTCCTGCCCTCTTCCTCGGGGCTCACCTCGGAGCTCAGAGTTATCCGCTGGACTCCTATTGTCCCAGCACAGCTGCTTAATGGACACCAGTCCCAGCCTCGCCCTCTTAGGGCTTACCTGGAGGCTGCAGGGATCTTGAGGCTTTCTGTTGGACTCCTCCTTGCTGTCCCAGCACAGCTCAGTGGACACCAGTCCAAGTCCTTCCTTTTCCTCAGAGCGTGGGAAGGAAGAGGGGAGAAGAGGTCTTATGGAAAGATGGAGAATGGAAAAGGAAGGGGGTGGGGAGCAGCAGCCGTCGCAGGGGCTCTCTGGCAGATGATGACATTTCAACGCCAAGATGGAAATCGAGAGCCCCTGCTGCGTCGCCAACAGATGAGACGACATCTCCAGACAAGCATGGTGTTACAGCATTTGCCCAGGCCTGATGGAGGTGGATCCACCTCCATTGGCTCTGCCTCCAGAGGCAGATCCACCTCCATGGGCTTGACGTCATCTTTAGGAGGATCATTTTCCATTTCTTTAGGCTCTCTGCTGCTCCCCTGAAGCTTAAGCTTCTTTGGTGGAGGAGGATCCATCCTCCTCCAGAAAGGTGGAAGGGAGAGAGAGAGAGAGCTCTGGATACGTTGCTTCTTGGGTCAGCAGCCACAAGACGCGAGTCAGTGACACCTTGCTTTGTTCAGCCCAGAGAAGAGCTCTCTCATGGTGTCCCACAGCTGCTCACAGGGAGTGGAGGGGTAGCACTGGTCTCTGCTCTCTGGTAACAGTGACAGGTCCTGAGGGAATGGCATGGAGCTGCATCAAGGGAGTGTGTCAGGTTGGTTTGGGGTAAAGGCTCTGCCCCAGAGGGCACTGAGCACGGCCTTGAGCTGCTGGAGCTTAGAGAACATTTGGACATTGCTCTGAGACATAGATTTTGGGTGGTCCTGTGCAGATCCAGAGTTGGACTCGGTGATTCTCGTGGGTCCCTTCCAGCCTGGGATATTCTGTGATTTTGTGTGAGAGAAGGCAGTAGTCAGTAAAAAAGGAGAAGCGTAAATTATTTTACAAGCATAGTTATGCATTCCCACTATATCATTTTGCTTTGTATTTGTTACCAGCTGAAAATATATTGGCCATGAATGGTAACTACAGCATAACCTTCTTCACTGCACTGCTCAGTATTTTATCTTCGGTACCATGATGTTAGATCAAAAACTGAACCAAAATCTAAATCAGTTCAGTCTGAAACAAATACATTTCTTCCACTTTCCTTGCTTAAACAAAAAGGTCATTCCTACACAAAATATTTTATTTGATCTGGAAAAAAAAAGACTGTTCTCCAAGTCTAAAATGCGAGATTAGATTTCCCCAAATAGCAGGAGGAGGAATCACTTCCCCCTCGTTCATCATTTGGTAGCTCACACTATAAATCTTCATTCTCTTCTCCTGCAAGAAAAGATGTGAAACTGCTTGTCTGAGTTCCAGTCATTGTAGCTAAAAGCCATTCTGGGACAAGGAGGATGAAAGAACGAGGAGGAAGAAGAGCTCATGTGCTCATCTGTAGTAATTGAAAAACTAATGAATAGCTAAATGCATTCAGCAGCATAAATGGAGCTGGTGCTCCCTGAGCTTCGTTGCCAGGTGAGAGAACTGGATGCTATGCTTGCTGATCAGTCCTTTGCCCCAAGAGGCCCAATGTCACCGAAGGTGGTAGGCGCCCAGCCCCTCATTCCAAACACTTTCCTGCCACATAACACCTCTCTGGACATGTGGAGAAGGCAAAGCAAAGTCCTGACAGAGATGGAATGCCTGTAGCCTACATCTGAGGAGTTATCCTGGAGCCTTGCTCTGAACCAAGCCAAAATTTTATTTTCTTTCAGGTAGAAAACTGTTGTTTTGTACCTTATGACCACACATTGATGTATGATAGACTGCAGACGTGAAGGAGGGAAGATAATTCCTGCATGAAAAGACTTCACAGTAATTTTGCTCATCTGCTTTACTGGTGTCTGGAATAAAGATTAAGTGCCAAGTATTAAAGTATTAGATACTGAAAAAATGAGGGAAGTCCATCTCCTTGGTATCTGCAGCCCTGTTACTAAGGGTAAGGAAATTGAAACCTGCGTGCTGACTTTTGATCTCCCAGCCTGGTTGTCTAATAGCATCCTGTAGCACTGTAAAGTGATGCAGCTGTTAATAAACCTGAATCTCATGTTGAAAACATGTAAAAATGAGGAGAAACCACAGAGGTTGAGACTACGTCATCTTAAAATTATCTGAGGAGAAAGATCGTGATATAACTCAAGTCTTTACATTTTTTTAAGACAGTAAATGACGTTAACTCAAGTTGCCCATATTCACCACAACCAGAAAAGCATTTACTTGTTAATTAATTAAAAAACAAATTCAGAACAGACCTTTTAAAGCACTTTTTCATATACTGGGTTACTCTGAAAAAGTAGCCTTACCAAAGAGAAAAAAAGATTACTGGCTCACTCAAGAAGGAACTGAAAAGAACTTACACAGCAGTAGAAAGAATCTGGATGTTTCATCTTCAAATCTGACTTACACACATTTTAAAATGGTTTTCTGGATTCCTTACAACCTTTGGACTACATGAATTAATCATACAAATTCTGCATATTGCAGCCTTACCTAAGAAGACAGAATACAAATGCAGTTTCTCAGTATACCATTTCTCATAAAACTGTGAAAGTAGATGGGTTTTTTTTCAAGCATTACTGACCAAAATAGCTACTAGTCTTCTATGCATGCTATATTTCTCTCAAATACAGTAACAAAAACAAAGAGAAATTCCATGATAAAACTTTTGGGGACCGAGTCATTTTAAACTTCAGTTCATTCCCTGGGTCAAACTGGGTCAATTTTGCTGCTTAATCTTGCTTCCATTAAAGTTGTGTAAAGTCAATGTTCATCCTGTCAAAAACTTAAATCAGAAGATTGATTTAGTGCTGATCATCCAGTAATCCCAGGTACAAGAGAAAGTTCCTGAATGCTATACAACCTGAAAAACCAAGCTTGCTACCTGCAGGTATTCCATTTTTAGGTTTTCATGAAGAACTAATGTTTGAAAATCTTCTAAATAGCTGGAGAGCCCGGCAGCTCTGTCTGTCATACAGGGGGAATGGGAAGACAGACTGAGACACTAGAGCTGAGGTTTAGGAAAACTGGGGCTGCAGTCACTCCTAATAATAATTTGCATCTATGCTGGGTACCTTGAGGTCTTGTTTTTGAAGCATCCAGCATCATCCTCCTGTAGCTGACCTTCGGTGTATTTAACAGGTAGCTTTTGTTTCAGCTGCTGCTTTGCTAATCTCACACTCCTATGAAATGGCTTTTGACGAGGTGAGACCCTTTGTGGAGCTGCCTGCTGCAGAGGACCTTTAGTTTAAATGAAAATGACAGCATTTCAGCAAGTGCAATTGTAAGCTCTATGACAGAATATAGATTCACAAGGAGAAGTAATTCTTGCTACTGTCATAAAACATTGCTTTTTTTCAGATGTCAGCACCATTTGGTGCCACTGTGACTGGAGAAATTTCTAACACCATCTACTGGCAAATGCTCTGAACTGAAAGAAAAAAAAAAGAGCATTCATTTCTCTAAAGTGGATTCCAAAATGAAGAGGTACATGATCACCTTTCAGATGCATGCTACTCATTGGCACCCTAACGACATCTCTCCCACTGCATTTGTAGGGAAGGAGCCTGAAGAATGAACTGCAAGGTTGAGCTTCTCTCAAGCCTGTGGATGACACTACTTTTCAAGACTGACTTGACGTAGGAGTAACCATGGTTATTCTGCTCTCTACAGCTCTCTTCCCCTTACTGCGAAGACTGCGTGAGGATGTGGGCCAACGGGAAGGTTGCAGGAGTCTGGAGGAATGCTGGAGATGTAGAGTGCTGACAGAGGATGTGCGTATCTGAAAGGAACTCAAGAGAGTTCTGGTAACCTTACAAAGGAACAAGGAACTACAAAAGAATTTTTTTTCAAGACTGCTTCAGCACTGTGGTTCACTGTAAGTCTCATCCAACCATCTTCATATAAGAACGCTATTTTACACTGTTGAGAATTAAAGCAAGCACCAGACAAAATATATTGGCAGGGAAGTTTGATTCTTAATAAAAACTTCTGTGGTATAACTGTAAAATGGTCCTTCCTCAAACTGGTGATGCCGTGACTGACTAGGAGTTGATAAACACTAAGCATGGTCTCTGCTTTTTGAGCTTGAACACTGTGTGAGTCAAAAGTAATGTGCAGATGCATAGCCTCTTAGTTGGACTAGGAGATCTCCAGGGGTCCCTTACAGTCCCTACTACTCTATAATTCTGCAACCAGTGGATTCCCCAGTTTTTCACTGTGGAACTCAGATTAGGTTTTCATGAAGATATTAACAACGTCATATTCAATCCATTTTGGTTGTATTCTCTACGTAGATTGTCCCAAAGATGTCTAAATCTTTTCCCGTTACAATTAAAACAGAGCTAGATAGATTGATGCTATGCTCACTTACAAATTGTTTAGCCAAAATCCACATCAGAGCCAGGATAAAATATTCACATACAAAACAGAAACTGCAGAGGTCCAAAAGCTCTTCTCTCACATTTCTTCCTTATCAACGAATAGGTCATGTCCACTCAGGACAAATGAGAGCCTGAGTCCGGTCCTCTGCCTAAATTGAGAGGTATCTATCAACCAGTCACTCTCCTGAATAGACTGTGCTATTTGAAGCAGTGGTCAGCAGTTTCCAAGCTTTCAGACAATGATGGTGATTCATTACCACTTAAATCTTCACAATTTCCTCTTATTCTTTATCAGAGAGAGGGCAGAAACTGCAGCTAAATGCCAAAAAAGCAAGAGTTGGGTACAAGCATGATGTAACACAGTAAACTGCTGAGCCAAGAGCTGTTCAACCAGCCAAATTGCATCCCAGTGAGCTGTTTGAGCCCATAAAACCATCAGTTCTGAGAAGCTGTACTCTACATCAGAGCCAAACACCAAGTACTGCCAACGAGTCGGTATAGTAACTGTATTTCACTTTAAGGAACCCGGACATTTGGGAACCTTCCACAGGCAGCGTGCACTCTTCTTCCTGCCTCCATCATCAGCTGACAAGCCAACTGTGTTCCCACAGTTTGTTGAATTCTCTTACTGACAAATTATGATACTTTGAAGAAATTTTAACCAAAAAAGCAATGATCCAGCCCGTATTTCTTTACTATCTCAAGAAACAGAGCCTCGAAGTGTCACTACGCTTCAACTGTACCTGTTTCTTCCCATACAGGAGGGCAGAAGTCCACCTCAGGACAGTTGTGTCACTCAGAGTCCTGTAAAAAGGCACACAGATCCCTGCTAAGCATCACCTAAGAAGTAAAAACACAGAAAGAAGTGAAATGTTTTGTCCAATCTTCTCTCCACCAAGGACAATTTTCCTATGTTTTGTAATGAAAGAGCCTACATTCCCAAGCTTCGTGTTCGGTCTCTCCGCATTTCAGTCTTGTGTATATTCATTTATTAGCAGAAGTATAAGTGAGTATATATATTATGCCTTCTCCTCTGGGATATATTCCTAGAATCCTCTATTTTTCCAGATATGATTTTGACTTATGCAGACATATAAATGCAGCCATTGACTCAGCTGGCATAAATCAGTCTGGTTCCACTGACATTAATGAAGCCTCGGGGTGCTGATTTATCACTTCATAATAAAGCTCTGTACAACAATGTTTTGCATTTAAGATGCTGTTGTTGGAGTACAGTGCTTTTCTCTCTTTTTTTTCAAATTGTTCATTCATTCTTTTCCTGAGGTATTTTGAACATCTTATAGTCTCTGTATTTCATACTGGGACCTCAACTTTTTAGCAGTAAAAATTTGGTGGACATCCTGTTTAGCAGACTTCCATCTTACATTTGAGCACTGAGGTAGAAAGAGAGAGAGAAACGGAAGACAAGCATTTATCTCAAGCTGTTAACCAACACTTGCCTGCAAACACATATAGACACAAAGTCCTCTGTGCTGCAGTATTTCCGAATATGCACTGAGTCAAAATGTCTGATCTGCCTCTGTCAGCAGGATCTTGTCAAATGAAAAGATTGCTCCCAGCTTTGCAGTGGATTTGGTAAATCAGACTCTTTTGAAGATGTGATTACTATTATTGTTGTGAGATTTATTTATTTATTTTTAATTTAGTTTTCTTCAGAGAAAGCTAACTACAAGCATGGATACCTTAGCTTGTGCAGCTTCATCAGCACTCCACAAGGATTGGTGCTGGTTGGCAATGATTTAAATCATCATTTAAAGATGAAAACGCAATTAAGCACTGGGAATGCGTAAGCTAATTTATCCATTGAAAAGTAAATTAGGAGGGGGTGACTTCTATGCTGCAGAATAAAAGTTTGCAAAACATTGTAACATTTCTTTGGCTACTTTTTATTATAATAATTATTTAATCTTACGCAAGCCTTTTAGGCTTATGATTTCTGGTCCTCAAAATCAGCAGTGCTGAAGTCCCTCTTAAGGATGAGAGTGTGAAACAGTAACTGGTTCAATGCAAGGCATATTTGAGTTTGGGGGAGTCTTGGACCAGAACGTCTGTTGGAAGGGTTATTTGATGCTACAGTCTGCAAAGGCAGACCAGGTAAGGATGTGGGAAGTCAGCAGGGAAGCCCACACCTCTAAAGGCACAAGTCACTGTCTTGAGGCGTGCAGGGCACACAGGGCTGGCAGCTGCAGTGCAGTGGGACAACACTGGGGAGAGTGGGAGGGGACACAGGAGTACCTGATGTCCTGATGACGTAGCAAAGAGGAGCCCACAAAGATCGGGGAGGGTCTGAAGGGCGAGGAGTGGGGGGAGCCACTGAGGTCTGTTGCTTTGTTCAGCCCAGAGAAGAGCTCTCTAGAGGCAGACGTCAACTCCTCATGGTAGCAGCATGGTATCAACATAAGTTGTCAGAACAGCTCCCAGCTGGATGAGAGAACAGAATATGGCTCTGTATAGTTTTTTGAAAAAACTGGGACAAATTGAAAGCATCTAGATGTTACTAAATGCATTCAAATTAAGGTATTTCTATGTCGACTTGGACTATTTGATGCCTACTTATTACAGCAAATCATAATATTTCAATACTCCTGAAGGCTTTATGCAATGGCTGTTTTTGCAGTGCAGCAATGTTTATAAATTGCTTCAAAAACCTTAGATGAAAGGACCTGTAAATGTAGAATACATCATTACATCTAATTAATGCACTTCATACGTCTCTGACTTCCTCCTGATGTCCTTCTCAAGGTGCTGCTGCTGCCGGAACTGTTTTGAGCGTTAGAGAAAGTGTGAATTGGAACAACCTGGTTATGAAAGAAAAATACATGCTGTTCAGGGTTGTTTTAATTTGTTACTATGTATTTTCATATTATCTGCTAACAATTAATGAACAAGCAAATGTTGACTATCAGACTCTCAGTGATTAAGAAATTTGCTCCTTTTAAGCCATGATCCTTTACTTTTTCCCTCAGCTCTCTTACCTGAAATATTCATTAGTTTTCCAATTCAAACAATTCTTCATTTGATGCTTCTGCATCTTTTTTTTTAACTATACTAAGAGTGCTGGACTAGTACCAAAGAAGCAATTATCATATAAGAAATAGGAAAATCGTATGTATTTAAAGCAGAGTGGGTCATCTTAAAATTAAATGATTAAGTAAAATCAATAAAAATAATGCCGTAGAATCCAGGATTGATTGGTTGTGACTCTAAAAACACTGCCAATCTTCCAAACATATTTTTTTCCTTTAAGAAAAAAAAATCTTCAGGGTAAGATTATCCCTTCTTTGATGTAAAGGAAAATAGTTCACTGCAATCAGTTTTCTTCATCTCACTAATGAACAAGTCAAATTCATTTCAGGGACAGATTAAACCCGCTCTCATAATGTGCTGTGCTCTGGGATGCTATTGATGTTTGATGTTCGTTTTGAACTACCTATACACTGCTCCCAGCACTTTAAATGATTACATAGTAGGTATGTGTTTATATATAGCACGTAATCATCTCAAATGCTAGGATTGCAATATGAATAGGGAATAAGAAATAAACTTTACTTTTGATTATATAGGCTCGTGATTAATTGTTTGAACTTTGGAAAATGAGAAAGCCCTAATTAATTTAAAAAAAAAAAACTCCTAAAATGGGGTATTATTTAAGTGTAATATATAGTTTATGGGTTTTATGTGCAGAGTATAGCGCTTTTTGGGGTTTTGTTTCATTTCTTATTCAATTCAGTTTATTACTTTATTCATTGATTTCCCATAATAATGTTTGTGCTTATATACTGCCTTTCAGCTGGGGCTCGTAAAGTACTTTACAAACATTAATACATTTTTCTCACCACTTTTATTTACATTGCCCTTCTAATGAAACTATCATAGACTAGCTGTATATAAATTACACTGAGGCAGCAACAGAAGATAGAACATGCACCAGAAAAATAAACTAAAAAGCAACATTGGAATGAAAGCCTTAAACCCAACCTATTCCAGGTAACCATTCCAACTTCTAGCCTGGCGTTCCCAAAAAGCAGCAAGATGCAGGCAGAACACTTGCGTTAGGGCTCAGTCAATACAGACAGTAGTTCCATCTGCTCTTAATCATTGCCAGTTGCAGAGATTGCCTGGGGAGAGCACAGAATCTGTTCTCACCCTGGGCTGCCTGTACTGTCAGGAATTTCACGTCTATCTTAAACCGGTTACTTCAGATTTAGCTCATTAGCTGATGTCTCATTCACTTGGACATGAAGAAAAATTATTCCCCATCTTTGCTACAGTGTCCAGTGAATGTGAAGGCAATTATCACATAGCACCCTTGTCTTCTTTTCTCTTCAGATGAAATGTCACCTCCTTAACTCCTCACCAGTACAGCCATCCTCATTGACTTCCTTTGGCTATTCTCCTGCCCCATCCTCCATGAAGGGCAGTGCTGAAAAAGTACACAGGAGTCCACCTGGATTCCTTCACTCACCCAGCTTGTTTCTTCCTGTACATCCACTGGATGCTTACATCTTGCACAACAGCTGACAGTCTTCCGATGCTAAGACCCCAAATCCTCCTGCAGATCCCCATCTGATCTGAAGCTGCACAAGTTTAGTGCCTTGTATTTGCCCTTATGCAATTCCACTCTATATTTCAAGCCACTTTTGTAAGTTATCAAAGTTCTGGAGATTTTTTTTTCTTATTTTTTGCTACAAGCCTGAAGCTGTCTAGGCTGGTACTGTCTGCAGTTTAATAAGCATCTTTTTTTCATTATCTAAACTATAGATGAGAATATTGAGTACTGCTACAACCAGAGCACACAAGATCCTACCTGACTGTTTGGCAGTAAATCATTAATAAAATCTGTTAATATGGTTTCCCACAAAGCCTTGTACCAACCTTAGGGCACTTTGATTATAGACAAATTTTTCCCAGTTTACTTCTCAAACTGTCATGTTACACTTAAATAAAGTCCAAGTATGTAGCACTGACTACTTTTTCTGTAGCCACTCTATAATTTTGTAACAGAAAAGATTTTGTAATCAGAAAAGCTGATTTAAAACTAAAATTGGTTATTTTTCTTGGTTGAGTTTGTGAGTTCTTATCCTCCTTACAAATTATATATTTGCTTCTTCAGTATTATTTTCTCAGAAGAATAGTTGGCCTTTCATTTCTCTGATCCTCCTGTTCTTTCGTTTTGGGATGGTTGGTTTGTTTGATTTGCTTGTTCATTTGTTTGTTTTACCTTTTTAACGATAAGGATTACATTTGCCCTTCTCCAGGCTCTGGAAATCTTCTGCATGTTTTCAAAAGCAACCTTCAATTGTTCCATTTGATTCCCCTCATTCTTCAGGTTTCCCATGAAGGAGAGACCAATCCAATTTCAAAAACTGAACTTTGCTCGGTTCTGTCTGATGAGTCTTCCCCCCACTGCAGCCCCAAATCTTGCCTCTTTGCCACCAGTAACATATAGTTGGCCTTCCTACTCTGATCCAGAAGAAAATAGAAGTGGCATTAAGTCTTTCGGCTTTCTCATAGTTACATGCCAATAGAATTATAGCCTAAAACATACCAGCATTTTCCATATTCCCTCCTGATGTCTTATCTTGCGCTCCAATGCAAAAATGCTAACTACTACAATAACCAGGATGAACTCCTGTGACACCCCATTTGACACATCCTTCCAGCTTTATCTTTGTATAACACATCAATATCAGACTGCTCTTAGCAGCATAAAGGGCTGTTTGTAAGATGCAAAAGACCGTCGTGCATCTTCACATTCCTTCGACTTCTTGAAGATCATTACTGAAATAGAGATTTGACAGGACTCTACAGCATTTCAATAAGGTTGTTTCTGTTTGTTTGTTTTTTTACCACAGGCACTCCCCACTTTCCTTCTGCTCAACTGTGGTTATAGTATATATGGCAGTGATGTAACAGTTGACATCAGGAGAGTTCAAAGCGCTTTCCACATTGAACTTTTTAATAAGGCAAAAGTAGATGAAGTGACTTTCCTAAGGTCACTCAGCAAGTTACAGGCTGAGCCAAGAACATAGTCCAGACCTCCCCAAGTCCCAGGCCAGTGTTCCATCATTATGCCACCCAGCCTGCCATATTATTAATGTTCAGCCTAAATATATTCTTGTAGCAATTGATTTAATGTCATTAGTTTCAGACTGCTAATCCAAAGCTCTGTTAGTTATCCAGCCTCCAGGGATTTACTGGAAAGAAAGGACTTCAGAACTAATCCAGAAAATAACGTTAGAACTTTTTCATAAGACCTAGCTACTTCTTTTTCTTTCTTTCTTTTTTCCTTCCTTTTTTTTTTTTTTTTTGTTGTTGTTGTAAAGCTATTTCAAAAGGAAAATATCCACCTAATTCTTAATCCACTGAAAATAATTCCACTTAGATTGCACGTACATTTGTGAGCAGATGCACAATGTTTTCTGTTTCTGTTTCAGGCTATAAAATGCAATAAACATGTACAGTAGTAATTAATGGGGTGAAGTCAAGATAATGATCACGATACATAAAATAGAGAATTAAATTAAATATTCCTGGGGGTCTTAAGGAGATAATAGAAGTGGGTGGAATTGAACACCGCAAAAAATCTCCCTTCATCCACCGCCTCCTGTGCACAAGAGCAGATAAAGATGCTTAGTGTATCAAAGCTCTAAAACAGATTAAAAGAACAACAACAAAAAGGAGATAAAGTATGTTCACATGAAGATATGAAAAGGATTTAAGAGTGCCTGTGTCCAAGGAATCAGTTCAAAGTCCTCTCAAGATGGCACAGAAATGACAAAATCCAAGACAGTTACATATTCATTAATCCAGTGTGAGAATGCACAGTAATCAGGACAATAAGAAAAAAATATGTGCTCAAAGATCAATAAAAGGTGCCAAAATCTTTGTATTAAGTAAGTCACAGTGTGCTCTTGACTTTCGTAATCTGCCATGTTCAGCTAGGTGGAAGAGTAGGTGGAAGGTAAATACACTTTTCAGTCTAGTATCCCTGGTCTGTATATAGATTTTTCTCACCCAGATTTCTCCACAGCAGAGCTTCAAATTGCCGTGGCTTTCAGAAAGCCTTACACTGTGTGTACTCCAGGATTGTATGTCAAATAAAATAATATTCTTTCCATTTACATCCTTTCCTGCACAAGACGCTTTTCTTGAACAGCTGCCTTGCTGGTATTCTTCAGCTGACACCTTGCACTTTATAGTGCTTTTTAACTGCCAGTATTCAACAACGGGTACCAACTACTAGGTTTTATGTCAATTCAATCTATATCTCCACCATAACTTTTGCATTATCTTTGGGCCAACATGGATGACGTTGTTCTTTATAGCAAATCTAGTAAAATAATAGTTTCTGTTTTCCACAGCTGGATGTCTAAGAAGAATGCTTAGTGCTTCAAATATTTTATCCTTTGCGTAGACAC